TGTGTGCGCAATGACAAGTCAGTAATTTTTTCAAGGGTGTTCAAACTTAAAAGAAGAGGAAAAAATTCCCTGACAAAGTGTGTTCAATATACGATATATACCTTTAAGATCTAATATTTTACCTATATACACAATGTAATTTTTCGACGAACGGTAGTCAAATGACCGCCCTTGACCTAACGTAGCTTCCCCCTAGGTGTGTGCAATCAGGATTGATATTTGACGGGTTCGACCTCTAAGATTTTTAACATTGAATAAGTTCAAATTTAATATTTATTGTAATTTTAACGAATTTATATATGTATAAATATACATCATCCAGTGGAGATGGAGCGTATAAGACAAATTATTGTTAGAATTAAAATTATGTACATTGATACAATATGATTTTTTAGGTTATATTAATCTACAATAATATAATTGCACAGTGCAAGTCATTTTTTAGCATCGTAAAAGAAGAACAAATCCTTGTTACTATAATACATTACTACACTAATAATGTTAAAAAAGATACACTATCAATGTCAAAATATATAACTTAAATACTTATTTTTTAGTTTCACTATAATAACCAGCATTTAGGACCATTTATAATAAAATTTCTGGTGCTAGTACTATTCTCCTCTTGATTTTTTACAGAAGGAAAGATATGGCTAATAATAAGAAAGTACAAACAGCTATCATCACAAAGTGAAAATTCCCTTTTGTTGATTTTATACAATTCCCAAAATCCCCTCTATGATAAGTATATGATTTTTGGCGTTTATTTTACAAAATAAAAGAAAATAGTATGTGGTTATATTTTAGGATATTAACTTATATAGCATCAGAGGCGGACCTATGCTTCGGGAATAGAGGTCACCGGACCACGTTAACTTCGGCAAAGTTTTTTGAATATATAAGTGTATATATGTTAAAAACGATCATATATTTTGCTTGCAACACTTAAAATCAAAAGTCCAAATGGGGCACTGATTGAGCAGTTTCCTCATGTGCCCCCGCCACCTTCAAATCCTGGGTCCGCCTCTGTATAGTATAGTATACATTTGCAATATCAATGTACTTTAACATATTGTAGCAAATAATTTGTATTATTTTTCATATGTTATACTAGTCTTGCTGATATGAACGGTTACATATAGTTATTTTTTAGGCGATATGATAGTTTTAAATTCTTTTTCACTATCGGTGCATAAAAGTTAAACACGATAATTTCGTATTATGTTGCTTATCAACTGTTGGTATAACTTTGCAGATGTATCGGACGGTAAAGACAACCGATAAAGCAGCAGCTGGAGCAGCTTCTTCAGGTGCAAAATACTGTTTAATTAGTATATTGACTTATATATATATTTTTTCGTTATGACTGATTGTTCATTATAGAGTATTTTTAAGAATATAATATTACTATAAAATATGAGTACTAGGCAAGCTATGTAGCACTGACTCCAAAAATATTGCTGCATACGTATCAGATCCTTCAAAATACACTATTTTTAGAGGAATTGGCACGCCACACGATATTTTTGGAAAGTTCGAGCAACATAAGTATTGCTTGTTTTTTATTCCGTTATGAATGGTTGTTCATTACAAGGTATTTTTAAGAATAATATTACTATAAAATATGAGTACTGGCAAGATATGTAGCAAGGTATCCAAATGTTGCCGCATGTGTGTTATATCCTCCAAAAATAATATATTTTTGAAGGAACCGACCCGACCCTAGATATTTTTGGACAGTCTGAGAAATATAGATATTGATTGTTTTTTTACTCCGTTATATGATTGAATGTTCATTACAGGGTAATTTTAAGAGTAAATATTACTATAAAGTATGAGTACTAACAAGCGAGGGTGGATCTAGAGTGTTAGTTAAGATTTCATGTGAATTCAGTAGCTTTTGTATCGATTTTGTATATAAATATTTATCAATTTTTCATTATGAACACTGTTATTGTAGTGTTAACCTGAGATCGATATAAAACCTCATAAACTTCATATACTTTTTAATATTTTTGTATGTGAAGCAAAATTGATTTTGTAGTCTCTTTTTTTTTTCTTCCCTTTGAACGTTTTTAGGCCAATCGGAGGTGTTTGATAATGGATCATCTGGGGATAATAATTCAGAGGAATTAGTGCTTGACATTCAAAATTCAGCAAAGTCTGAATTATCAATTCAACAAGCTGCACGACAAGAGAAAGATAATTATCGTGGTCTTTGGAGTAACTCTTCAAGGTAAACATTTCTCTATGCAACTTAATTAATTATTATAGATATATATACTCATGTGAAGGGAGCCTTGGCGTAACTGGTAAAGTTGCTGCCATGTGACCAGGAGGTCATGGATTCGAGCCGTAGAAATAGTCTCTTACAGAAATATAGAGTAAGGCTGCATACACTATACCCCGCGAACAACTGGGCATATGGACCTGCCCTGACAAACTTAAAGTTGAGGCTTAATTGTTGAAGTAATAAACTCTCAAGAACTGGAATATATATAATAAGTAGGAATAATAATAGATATAAAATGAGTTAGTAACGTAACCTGGAAAACAAAATAAAAATTATTTGTTACTACGTATCAGTTAATTAATCTGCATTGACAGTTTAACAATCTGTATGTTGTCAGTATACAACTTAAATATGTAGAAATATACCAAAATGACAAAAATCAACCTAAAAAGATACGCATATAACTTTCCTGTGGATATTGTGGGCTCAGATAAAGCATTTGAAAGAAGACCCTTTACTAGGAAACTTAGTGCCAAAGCTAATTCTATATATTAAAAATATTGTTTAATATGGTGTCAGGAACTTTTGAATAATGGTAAAGTTGTCTTTATATAATTTATATTATATGTCACGGGTTTGAACCGTGGAAGCAGTCACTAATGCTTGTATCAGGGTAGGGTATCTACATCACACCTCTTGAGTATAGCCCTTGTCACGAGTTTGACCGATTCCGTCGGAAATTTCCGACTACTCTTTCCCGTCGAAATATGCCGATCGAAAATGAACCGTTATTTTGTAGTGCGAACCCTACGTGAATTGGGAATACTTTGTATCAGGCCATTTTTTTTGTGTCAATGGCAAAGGGCCTATGTCCATATAGGAGTAGAATTTCCTTCACATGGGTGTATTATTTAATTTTTATTTTAGCAAAAGGGGAAATCGTAAGAATATGAAAAGAGTAGAAAAAGATAAAAGAAGCTATAAATAAGACATACAAAAAGATAGCTTTCTGTTTTCTCAGTCTCACTTTTTCTTTCTTTTGCATGCATGGCCTCCATTGATGAAAAAATATTCTCTTGAAAATTGGCAATATTTGTGTTATATAGCAGGGAAAGTTGGCAGTTGCATGGCAATAAACAAGGAGATTATCCAGGAAACATATCTTCTCTAGAGGTACTATCATTATTATAGTTTACAACTAATTCCCATGGAATTTACTACTTTGCCCTCATATAGGGGCGGATCTAGAGCGTCGATTACAATTCACATGACTCAGCAACTTTTGTTCAGACTATATATTAAAACATTTAATAAATATTTATAAGTAATAGATTGCAAAATCGATTATTATTATAGTTTTAACTTGAAAATGAGGCCATTCATTTTAATGTTCAAGTGTAAGAACATTAAGCAAACTCGAGGAGAGATCTTTCCTGAAAATATGGCTCATTGTCTTCTTTCATTAGTATAAATTGTCAGTGTATATGATGGTATATATATATATATATATATATATATATATATATATATATATATATATATATATATATATATATATATATATATATATATATATATACTGTCAGTGCATATAACTTAAGTTCTTAAATTAGTAGTCAAAATCCCTTCGTTCCTTAGTTTCCTTTTGATGAACTCGCTGATTTGATAGGGAAAAAACCAAGCTTATGAAACTATAGTTTAAATGCATATTATACTTCTAATGCATGGATAGGGCATAATATTCTTCTAATCTGTCCAAGCTAGTCTTGGTGAACAGAGTTATCCAATATTTGTGACAATGGGAGTTAGCAGATACCCTATTTGAATTAGTCAAGGCGTACAAGCTCGTCCGGACTCCACGATTATCCAAAAAATAATTTAGTATTGCCCTATCCCTTGTTTGGTTACTAATCCTGGGATAGTTTATTCTAAAATTAAAAATAATAGCAGGATAACATATACCTGCCAGAGGGTGAGTTATCCCAGGATAAAGCAACAAAAATTGACAATCCCATAATTAATATAATATACCAAACAGTCAATAAAAAAGTAAAAATAGAAGTTTGGAGAGTTGAAAAGTTTGACCGAGAGTTAACTTTGTGGTTACCGGGCTCGGATTTTGAATAACTAGTCCCAACATAACTTGTCTTTAAACCAAACAACCCCTTAGTTCTTAGATAGAAGTACATATACACATGCAGTGTATCAGTAAGAGGGAAGCAGCCTTCATCATTGTTACATATATTCCTCAAAATATAAATCTGTCCTTTTGATTCCTTTATTCACACACACTTCTCTTGTTTCTACTTATTATTATTCTTTCTTAGTACTAATTCATTTTTTTCTTTTTTGAAAAAAAAAAATTTATACAGCAGAAAGACAATATGGAAGCAAAATGCTTAAGCTATGAGGGAATATCAACAGAAGTGAGCTCATCAACAATAACAGAAGCAAGTCCAAAGAAGCCTAATTTGGAGTTCACTCTGGGAATAATGCCTAATATTTCATAGTACTAAAAAAGAAAGCAAAAGTACTACTCATTTTGAAATCATTATATACTTTTTGACTAGAGAAATAGTAAAAAAAAAAAAAAAAAAGAAAGAGAGAACCAGGTTCCCACTGAGATAAAAATAATAAGATAGGAAAGAAAAAGAAAAGGCAAAAGTGAGCTAAAGAAAGACAAAGAGACAAAGAAAAGGAGAAGGGAATAGGAAAAGTACATGTAATTATTCCCATTATAATATTCTTGTGACCTATAAATCAAACAATATATTAAATTGTTCCTTTCTTTCCCTACAAAAAAGGAAAAACAAAGAAAGTATATTTGAAATCTAATTGATTTTAGTATTGTTATAGTAGTAAGAGATTATAGTTACTATAGAGAGAGTTGAGAGAGGGTTAAGTAAATCTCTTTCCCTTGTTACAATTGTATGATCATTTACATTTAGCAACAAATATAATATCTCCAATTCATATTACCTGTCTTTTAAAAGTTTTCGCATTTTTTTTAAAAGATATGTAATAGTCTTTATCATAAGCATATGAGTTTAAATTATTGTTATCTCTCCTTAAGTATCTCCAGAGGAGGATCCACGATTTAATGCTTATGGGTTACTGCAACGATTTCGAGTAAATTTTAAATAGTAATTGGGTTCACATTCAAACATTTATAGATATTTAGTAAATATTTGAACACAGCTATACTGTTTGAACAAAATCTATTGGGTTCACGCAAACCCGCAAGTGGGGAGGTGGATCCGTCCCTGAGTATCTCACTTAATTAACAATTTACTAATTGTATTAAAACAATAAAGGTAAATTTGGATAACAAGTAACAAATGGTTTTTTCTTCTTTTAAAACCTTGAATATTTTGAAAGGAAATCATTAAGTAAAAATAACTATGTTTTGAATGAAGGAAAATATAAAATATTTTGCAGAAATAAGTTATTTTCTGGCAATCAAACACTAAAAATATTTCCATTAAAAGGGAAAAATATTTTTCTTCTCTTATGTTTTTTCTGATAGTCCATTTGAAATAATTTTATATTTTAGAGAGTATTGAATAGTAAACTAATGTTTCTTGAGAGAGTATAATTTTTGGGAGGATTGGCTATTTAATTTTTTGGGAGAATATAATAGTTTGGAGGAATATCTATTTATTCCTAGGCATCATCACATGCTTTACAGTTTTCCAACAAAGGAATTGGACAGAAAGGAAAGGAAAAGATAACAAGAATTATTGATAAAAGAACTGAAAGAATGCAGACATAGAAAATGAAAAATAACAAGAAGAAAAAGACAAGAAAAGAAGTAATATGCTCTTTATATGAGTATCTTTTTCTCTTTATCAGTATCTTGTTCTCCTTCTTAAATATAAAGAACTTCTATCATAATAATAATAATAATAATAATAATAATAATAATAATAATAATAATAATAATAATAATAATAATAACTATTATTATTATTATTCTACTATTACTACTATTATTATTTATTTATTTATCTTTTTTACTAGCACTTTTATTATATTTACTTTATAATACTGAGATGAGTTGATATTAATAAAAGGAATGAGGATTCATATCGCCGACCCCAATATATTTAGGACTAACGCATAGTAGTAGTTGTTATGATAGTAATATTCGGACCAGCTTAAGCGCACTTTGATTAATTCTACCGAATATGTCGACTTTCCAAAATATTCTCATAATATATACTTTTCTTGAATTTTAACAAGAATTTTCAAATTTCCTTCATTTTTTCGTTTGTGAATTGTCGTAAATAGACAATGTATATATGGTTAAAAATGAATTGAATTACTTGAAAATAATGTCCTTTTAAAAAAAACCAAAGTATATACTTTATTTTTTCTGTTTTCCACTGCTTTTAAAAAGTTTCTGTTGTTATACCTTATTTTCCCCAATCATATTAAACGATTTGAAAAAGAAAACCTTTTTAAGTCATGGTCAAAATTAACAAACTTTCCCTTCCCCTTCATATAATTATCCTTTTAATTGCTTAGTCCTTTCCCATTATATTAATTGTCAAAATATCGCCAACCTACTTTTTGAAGGCAGACATATGGATCAATCATTTTATTTTATTTTTCACCCCTTGTTCGTATTGGAGCCTCCTCTAATCCGAATTGGTGTCACGTAAGATCCATTAAAGATGGCAACGCTTCATAGTCGGACTTTTTTCATTCTCATAGTTCGATTCGAGACCTCTGATTAACGGTCAAGAGACCCTATTCATCCCACTATAATTCTTGGTGTTCACATCGATCATAATCATTCAATACTCTTTTTTTTTTTTTCCACTCAGTGTCGGGTACCCGCATTGGAACCCGATTATATCCAGATTCGCGCCGCGTAGGGTCCCATTCGGGAGGAAGCGCTCCCTACCAAGGATTTTTCCATACCCAGGGCTCGAACTCGTGACCTCTAGTTAAGGGAAGAGCAGTCTCATCCACTGCACCACATCATTTACTGGTATCATTCAATACTCTCAACATAGTTTTTGAGAAATTAAATTACATCTCTTTTTTTAATAACTTTTTCTACACTCTAATTTGTTGTATTTTTAGACTTTCATCTTTGGCAGCTGAAAAAAGGACTTGTCCTTTGGATGAGAAATTGCCTTTAAATAAAGAAAAATTTACTTTTAGACTTTCATCTTTGGAAAGGCTAAAGTGCTAAAACGTGTGGAATATAATTCACTTTACTATTTCCTTTTTATCTATAGTAATAAAACATGAGATAATAAAGCATTGAAATGGACGGGTATAGAAAACGACATAAAAAAAGAAAATAAGTATAGGTAGGGTTTATAGCATTTAGGAATATGAAATAATTCTTCCTTTTTATTCCATTTGTTCAAAGATTTCATAAAGGCTAATATATACCCCACCTAAAGCTACCTTGACCTTAAGAAAGAAAGTTAATGATTGATCATATATAACTCAATTATTAGAGATCTTTTATTTTTATTTCCTTTTTATAATAGTAATTACACTTTTTTTTGCGTTATTAAACTTACCTTTATTTGATGCTTATGAACAAAAAGAAATTAAAAAAAATAGGACATTTCTCAGTAATACTCAATTTTGGTATTGCACATTATCTGGAATTAGGGGAAGATTAGAATGTTATGGTAGGTAACAACAACAACAACAAACCCAGTTTGATCCCAAAAAGTGGGGTCTAAATGTTATATTAGGTAAATTCAAAAAATTGAATAGAAAAATTTACCTACAATGAATGTTTACACCAGATCACGTACGTACACACACATTATATATATATATATATATATTCAAGGTTTCAGGATTTAGGGTTTAGAGTTCAGAGGTTTAGAATTCTGTTCAAGGGTTTAAGGTTTCGGGGTTTGGGGTGTGAGAATGACGAGATAAGAATACTTCAATCAAAAGCTAGGCTATTATAACTAATTCTGTTAAATAATTCTTTTAAGAGTGACCTAAAGTTTAATACGGAGGGTTAAAAATTGGTAGGGAGTAGTAAGTACTCCCTCCGGTCCAAAATAAGTGATTTTTTGGTCTTTTTTTATGGTCCAAAATAAGTAATTTTTCCAGATTTCAAGAATGAATTAATTATTCTTTTCCTACACTGTCCTTGGAGTAAATAGTGTTGGAATATGTGTTAGGAGTGTTTATGTGAGATAGTAAAGTTTAATATGGTCAATTCCATTCCTAATTAATGCTAAAAGGTGAATTTCTTAATTTGTGTGAAAACATCCGAAAAATCACTTATTTTGGACCGGAGGAAGTAGTAATTAAACAAACGCATTATATCATTTCCAATGCATCGAGTCTATCACTGATACAGTTTCAATGACACTGGGCTGTGGTCACATAGACTGAACCCCCCTCCCCCCCACCCACCCAGAAAAACCCCCAACTCAGGAACCTTGAAACCAAGTGTGTAAGAGCCTGTATATATAGTTAAGGCAGTGACACGAGAAAACCCTTGCAGTACAAAGTATATGTTGGGCTAAACTAACGTAATGATATTGTACGTTTTAGCTCAAGCTCACAATGATTTTTCTCAAAAGGCCTTACACCAATAAAAGATCTTTGCATCTTATATGTAGGTTCCTAATCTTTCCAACTACCGTAAGACTTTGTTCGTACACCCAACAATATATATTATTTTTTCTTATTTTCTGTTTACCTTGAAAATACGAGTAACAATTAAATTTGATTTGTGATTTTAAAGATATGTTATTAAATTCAATACGAATTAATATTCAAGAAATATGAGTTAGAAATGAAAGAAATAAGCGAATCAAACCAATGTTACCCAGCAGTAGTGACCTCGAGCTTTGTGATCTCGAGATGGATTAAGAGCAATAAATTAGTAAGAACAATAAATGTAAAAGACGATTCTGATGAACAGTAAGAGAGAAAAGTAGGATAGTATATTCTTGCCAATAATGAGATGATATTACAAATGATTGGGGTCCCCTTTATATAATAGGGGACCCTAAATAAGGTATATTTCTATTTACAATAAGGAATATTCTTGATACAACTGTCTAACCACCAAGTACGGAATTGTATAATCCTATTCCGAGATTTGCGCCATGATCTTGGGGACGTGGCAAGAACCTAGCTCATTCTGTTACAAACCCATAACGGTACAATTTCGGGGTCAAGCATACTTGACTTCGGTATATCCTCGCACTCCTATCTTCGGGCATTGTATTCTGTCTTCGAGCTCGGATCTGATCCCTCAAGCTTGAACTCGACCTTGCCTGGACTCGGGCTTAAGACGACCCTTTGAGCCTATAGATCGGAGGCATACGATTTCAACCGTATACGGATAGTCCCCATGTTTCTTAGAGCAAGACGATATGAAATGATTTGAACCTCAATTCTCCGGAGTTTCTAATGATGATGTCATTCCCGTGACGTGAGCGCTTGAAGTGACTAAAACGTCGCTTTAGTGCAGTTCCCAAAGTCAATAATTGGAGGCAGCTGACAGTTTTACTTAGCTTCCCCAATATGTTTTAACGACCTCTATAAATAGGCCAACTTCACAAATTTGCACACTCTATTTCTCTAATCTATTTCATAATCTCGTTAGCTCCTTCAACTTCTCTGAGTTCATCCTTCTCTTTAGCTCGCCCTTACTTCATTTTTTCTCTGAATTTCTACACCATAATGGCCAAAATATCTAATCGGTGCCGCAAAAAGAAAAAGCCTCTTCATCATCGCGGCCGGCCAAAAGTAAAACGATAGTACCACCTTGTATCGAGGAGTGTATTCCCCCGCCGTGCGAAACAATATCTGATTTCAAAATTGAAAAACCTGTATCGACACTAGGTCGATGTGAGCCCATGTCCCGATTTGTCTGTTTGATAACCGAGGACGAGCTTGAGCAGGTAAAAAAGGACTGCAACTGGGAGAACAAAGACGTAGTGATCCCTTCCCCCGAGGAGGACATCACAACATATAAAGCGGGGTACTTAAGCGTGTATACCTACCCATTCACGATGGGCCCTGCAAATCCAGCTCTGGGTCCCATAGATCCGGTTATTCTTGACTTTTGCCAATAATACCAAGTGACACTTGGCCAGATATACCCTTCATTCTGGCGAATCGTTCATTTTATCAGATTCTTCTCGAGCCAGGTCGAGGGGATGCCTTTCACCCTCAACCATCTGATCAGGTTGTACAGCCCCCGACTTTATCGAGGTAGCTTGATAAAAATGCAACGCCGATCCTCGAAATGTCTCTTCTCCAGCATCGATGAGGAGAAAGACCGAGGATGGATGAGCCGGTTTGTCCGAGTCATCACCTCTGACCTGATTCCTGCTGAGAGGATGCCATTCCTCGAGGAATGGAACATGAAACGTAAGTACATAGTAATTTGATACTCTGCTTTCTCTTCTTTTTCTCGACTTCTTCTTTTCCCTCGGTCTAACCCCTTTTCGATGGTGTAGCTACTGCTTGGTTTCCTGGTGCGGTCTCGAACCTCCAAGGTTGGGTCCGAAAAATGGCTTCCACTTCCTTATATGCGGAGCGTTGCTGGCGAGACTTAGCCAAGGGTCGATGGGAGGCTAAAAACCACTGTGAGCTCACTTGTTTCTTTACTTGTGTTTCTTAGTGGAATACTTACTTTGTTTTTATGTAGGCCTCGAAGACGCCGTTGCTATGCGGCCGCCCCCAGCTGGTGATGAAGAGATCCCGAAGCCTTCCAAAAAAAAAGAAAAGAAAAAGGGGGTCGCCTGCAAATCTCGCGAAGCCCAAGAAAGCGAGGCTCGAAAGCCTAAGGCCGACACGGTGTCCTTATCTACGAAAATGGCCCAACGCCCTCGGGATTAAGAAGAAGAAAAAAATGACAACTGCCCGTTGGTAGCTCGTAAAAGAGGAAGCACTGGTGCTTCGAAGTCTGTCGAGTCGGTGGTGGCAGGTGCAGTTCATTCTAGAACCGAAGAGATCTCTGAGGGGAGTTCTAGCAAAGTCCCCAAGCTATCGGGCAGCAAAAAGGTACCTCATCTCGGAGGTCACTTGGAGGGTGAGGCGGTTCCGAGGCCCTTCAAATAGAAGAGAACGCCCTGAGTGGGTCGCTAGGGGTGATCAACGTGGATGAGTCGCCACCTAGTCCTAAGTTCTCCGAGGGGCAAATCCGAGTTGCTCAAAACATGAAAACTTCTGATGTGGGGACGAGCCACGAAGGGCATGATATCCTTCGAGAATGCCTTACAGGGATCGAAGTTGGCCCCGACCTAGATGCTTCTTTTATTTTTGACGAGGCTTGTCGGCTCTTCAAAAAAGTAAGTTTCTGCCCTCTAAAATTGCGCTTGTGCTTTATCCTTGTCATTCTGAGTTTTACCTCTCCCTTTTTGCGAAGGCCGTTGTGCTCCATAAAGAAGCGTTCTCCAAGTCTCGAGCTGAGCTTGCTCGATGTGAGGCCGAGCTTAAGAAAATCACGGAAGAGAGGGACGGTCTTAAAATCCTCTATGTCAAGAAAGAGGAAGAGATCGGCGGTCTTCGAGCCGAACTGGCAAAGGCTCGTCAAGAACAAATCGAGCTTACCGAAAAGGTAATATACCCTCTGGAGTTTGGCTATAGATTTACCCGATCAGTCTACTAACACTTTTACTTTGTAGTTTCAACAAAAGGGTGAGCTGGCGGAGCAACTTCGAGAGGAGCTCAAGATGAAGGAGGCCAAGACCCTGGGGTGGAGGCAAGGCATGGAAAGTCTTGCCTCCGAGAGAGATACTCTTCGGGAGCAGCTGGCTTCACCCGAACGCCAGTTTCTAAGTGTGAAGGAGGAGAGCATGGCTCGAGGCCACAAAATCGAGGAGCTTAAAGCTAAATCCGCTCCTGATCTTGCCAAGGCCAAATGTGATGCTGAGGCATTTATAACTTCGTACCGAGCTGACGCTGAAGCAGCTAACTAACGGGCAAAGGAGATCTCTATTGCGGCCGAAGTTAAGTTATCATGCGCACTTGACCACGCCAGGCGACAGTCCCGGAGGGAAACCCTCGAGGAGGTACATGCTCGCGACTTTGATCTCTTAGTCGATATTGAAAGGGCAAAGACTTTGGAAGAAGAGGCTGCTGCTTTGCTTTCTGATGAGGATGACTCAGCTAGTGGCTATGAGAGTGGAGGGGATGAAGATAAAGTCCCTGAGGAGGAGGCTCCCGAAGATGCAGCTGCCGAAGATGTGGCTCCTGAGTAGTTTTAGGTTTCTTTATTTTGTCTTAGTGTTTTTATGTGAGGACCCCTTGTGGGTATTATAAATATCTTTTGGAAATACAAAGGAACTCATTGTTTCAACTTTGGCTTGTGTTAAATCTCATTTTGTCCTTGTTTATGGAAAATTCAATTGTACAACTCAAATGATCAGTCCGAGTATTGGTTTGGACTCAAAACATAATAAATCCTTAGGTTTTTAATTGACCAACATAATGCCTCTTGAGGTCTTAGGTAATCCTCGAGCTATGCTTAAATCAACTAGATGCGAGCTCGGGATGTCGGGACTCTTGAGTCCGAGTTGAGTAAGCAAGGTCTCGAACTCTATATATATTTTGGCCCTTAGGCTCTTTAGGTTGGCCCTTAGGCTCTTTAGGTTGGCCCTTAGGCTCTTTAGGTTGGCCCTTAGGCTTTTATATATCGACCCTTAAGCTCTTTAAGTTGGGCCAATTTGGCCTCTAGTGTGGCTGATGTTTTATACTTCAATACCACACAAGAAGGAGGGGGGGGGGGGGGGGTGATTTGTGTGGTACCCTATTTTTCGTTTAACCTGATTATAGAATTACCTGGTTCTTCTATGTGTTCCAACTACTACTGTTGCGGAATAATAAATACAGAGATTTTTACGTGGAAAACACCTGGCTCAAAAGGTGAAAAAAACCACGACCTACCTTCCAGTAGGATTTTCCCAAACTCTCCACTAAAATCACTGAGCCAAAAACTGTATTTACAAAAACTCTTTTGTAAACCTAAGATTAACTCTAATCCTTTTGTGGCACACATCCTCAACTGTTGCGATAACTTCAAGTTAACTCTAACTTGAAAACTCTAAGTACCTAATACAATTGTTTCTAGATAAGCTGAAAGATACAATGTAAAATCACCTACTACAACTGAACTAGAATAAAAGATAGACACTTGGAACCGGTTCTTCTATCTGGTTGAAGTAGCTTCAGGTTTGCACGCTTGAAGATTCACACGAATTGCTTGCAAAATTGCCTCGCTATTTTGCTCTCAATTCACGTTTAACTTCTGCTTGTGTGCGTTACCTGTAAAAGAGAACAACACTGATATTTATGGAGTTAGTAAAAGGAGATTGACTAGAATACAGATGCTACTCTTCCTTGGTGATAGAGTTCTAGTTGGTCTCATCCTCTAACTCTATCCATTTCTTAAGCCGTGTTTCTCTTTGTGTAAGGAGTCTTTCTCCTTATCCAATATGCAACCTTTTCGATCATGATCAGGAGATATCACTTCTGATAAGTTAGATTTATCTCCTTCACGTGCATCTCACATGTTTGAGTTGGTCATAACTGTGCTTCACAAGATGGACCTGGCCCATGTCTGAGTTCCTTTGTCAGTCTTCAAAACTTCACATTTACTTGGGCCAATAGTGGCTATGTAAGTTTTCCCTCTTTTCGGCTAAAAGACTTAGTGAAAATTTGATTATGCCTTAGCATGTGTTTTCGTACCCATTGGGTTTTTCGAAGGTTCGATGAATCGGAACATAATTAGTTTGTGTAAACATAATCGAATACCCCTTGAGGTTTTTTTTCGAAGGCTGATGTTATCGAAGCCTTTAAATTATTCGAGGGCTGAATTTATCGAAGCCCTTTATATTTTGATTTTGCCGAGGGTAGCCTGATTTAACAATTTTTTCAAAGTGTTTGAATGCCTTTAATTTATGGCGGAAGTCGGACGTCTCCGAGCCGCATTATTTTGGCTGTAGCCTTTTTATATGACCGTAGTCTTTAATATGGCCGTAGCCTTCGGGTATGTCACTTGGACTTGTTTCCCGATAATCTTTCGAACTTGTTCGAGAGTTTAGTCCCCGAGTATATTTGCCTTGGCCTTTGTTTCGAGGGGATGCCTCTTTGAGGTCTTATGAGTCCGAGTTTTCGATGACTCGGATGTGTTGACTGTCGATGACAGTCCCCGAGTATCTCGGGGTTGCATTAGTGCTTTGGCCCTTGAGATGTTTCCCGTAAGATTATAAGTTTAAAGCTCTTATAATAGTAGACTTCTTTGAGACACAAAGTATTTTTGATATAAACAGAAAGCTTCTTCAAATAATTGATACATGCGGACATGTTTTGTCGTCGGGGCTCGACTATTCTATATGGACACGGTTCATCTGACCGTTTGGCCCATTAGAAAGTTTTCCTATCGAGGCTCTCTTAGGCGTGAAGTATTTTCCTCAAAAATATGATCTCTGAGGTTGATGCCCCCCAGTATTCGAGGTTGATTGAAAAGAAGCCTTGGATACTGTTCGAGTTTTCCTTAGGTAGCATATAGTTGTTGCCTCGTTAAAAATCATACCGGTAAAACCCATTTGGGACAAAATCCAGTCTAAGGGAAAAAGAATGCAACGCATAATTTAAAACCTAAGGCCTTCGTGTAAAAAGGGTGTCTTCGATAGCTTCGATCGAAAACCTGCATTGAGTTAGCTTTAAACTTAAATGGACAAAAGGATAGAGTCATACCTTATCAGTAGTATCATTTGAGTAATGATATGTTCCAATTTTTTGGTAGTAGTTCACCTTCCATCGTGCTAAGTTTGTAAGATCCTTTACCGACAACACCGAGGACTCGGTACGGTCCTTCCCAATTCAGGCCCAGTTTCCCTTCATTCGGGTCTCGAGTATTGAGGGTGACTTTCCGTAGAACTAAGTCCCCGATTCTGAAATATCGAAGATTGGTCCTTCTATTGTAATACCTTTCGATCCTTTGCTTCTGTGCGTCCATCCGAACGAGTGATGCTTCTCGTTTTTTGTCTAATAGCTCGAGGCTGGTATTCGTAGCCTCGTGATTTGAATCCTCCGATGTATGTCAAAACTTGGCGCTGGGTTCTCCAACCTCGATAGGGATAAGGGCCTCGGTGCCATATACCAAAGAAAACGGGGTAGCTCCGGTGCTAGACTTTGATGTTGTTTGATATGCCCAAAGAACCTCGGGTAAAACTTCTCTCCATTTCCCTTTTGCATCGTCCAACCTTTTCCTCAAGTTTGAATGATATTTTTATTTGTTGACTCGGCTTGTCCATTTCCAATTGGGTGGTATGGTGTTGATAAGATCCTCTTTATTTTGTGTGCTTCGAGGAACTCCGTCACCTTGATGCCGATGAATTGCTTTCCATTGTCACCTACAATCTCGGCAGGTATCCCGAACCGGCATATGACGTTGTCCCTGATGAAGTCAATAACTTCTTTTTCTCTGACCTTCTCGAAGGCTTGTGCTTCCACTCATTTAGAGAAATAGTCTGTCATAAACAGAATAAACTTAGCTTTACCTGGGGTCGTTGGTAGGGGTCCGACTATGTCCATTCCCCATTTCATGAAAGGCCACGGGGATAGGACCGAGTGGAGTTGTTCTCCGGGTTGATGGATCATCGGTGCGTATCGTTGGCACTTATCACATTTTTTGACAAATTCCTTAGTATCTTTTCCCATGCTATCTCAATAATACCCTGCTCTGATAATTTTTCGAATCAAAGACTCGGAGCCAGAGTGATTCCCACAAGTGCCTTCGTGGATTTCTTGTAGAACATAAAAGGTGTCCCCGGCCCCAAACATACCGTTAATGGCCCATCGAATATTCTCTGGTACAATGTTCCATCTACATCTAATGCAAACCTAGCAGCCTTGGTTCGTAGGGCCCTCAATTCTTTGTGATCCGATGGGAGTTTCCCACTCTTCAAATAGTCGATATACTTATTCCTACAGTCCCACGTCAAACTTGTTGAATTTATCTCGGCATGACCGTCTTCAACCACAGACCTCGACAAATGGACGACAGTCCCCAGGACGATGTCATCTTCTTCGACCGAGGATCCCAGATTAGCTAGTGCATCGGCCTCGCTATTTTGTTCTCAAGGCACATGATCCAGAGTCCACTCCTTGAAGCGGTGCAAAGTTACCTATAGCTTATCCAAGTACCGTTGCATTCTATCCTCTCGAACTTCGAAACTTTTGTTCACTTGGTTTACCACCAATAGAGAATCGCACTTGGCTTCGATGACTTCTGCTCCCAAGCTCTTAGCTAACTCGAGACCTGCAATCATGGCCTCATACTCGGCCTCATTGTTAGTCAATCTAGAAGTTTTGATAGATTGTCTAGTGGTATCACTCGTGGGCGGTTTCAAAAAAAATGTCAAGCCCGGACCCTTTCACATTCGAGGCACCGTCTGTAAAAAGGGTCCATACCCCCAATGAGGTACCCGAACTTAGCAGGAGTTCTTTCTCTACTTCGGGTACGAGGGTCGGTGTAAAATTAGCCACGAAGTCAACTAAGATTTGAGACTTGATGGCAGTACGGGGTTGATATTCAATATCGTACCCGCTAAGTTCGACGGCCCATTTGGCCAGTCGGCCCGACAGCTCGGGTTTATGCAAAACATTTTGAAGGGGGTAAGTGGTCAATACCCATATGGGATGACATTGAAAATATGGCTTTAGCTTTCTAGAAGCGCTTATCAATGCAATTGCTATTTTTTCTAAGTGAGGGTATCTAGTTTCAGCATCCCTAGAGTTCGGCTTACATAATAAATAGGGAATTGCGTACCTTGCCCTTCTCGAACTAGTACCCCGCTTACCGCTATCTCGGACACTGCCAAATATAGGTAAAGTTTTTCATCTACCTTCGGGGTATGAAGCAAAGGCGGGCTCGTTGGCATTCCGGGGTCCATGCAAAATCCTTTTTCTTTTTGAGCAAGGAAAAGAAACAGTGACTTCGATATGACGACCTCAAAATGAATCGACCCAAATCAGCTATCCGCCCTGTAAACCTTTGCACGGCCTTCACGCTATCCGCGATCATGATATCCTCGTTGGCCTTGATATTATTGGGGTTAACCTCGATACCCTGATTCAACACCATGAAGCCGAGGAACTTACCCGAGCCGACTCCGAAGGCGCATTTCTCCGGGTTAAGCTTCATGTTGTATTTCCTCAAGATTTTGAATGTTTCCTGCAAATGAGCTAAATGGTC